ACAGCTATAAAACGTCAGCTGCTGACCCTTTCAGGTGTTACTGTGACTACTGTAGTTTTAATATCTGCATAGTTTCGCCCTCAACAGTTCCCCTGGCAAAGGTGTAAAGCAGCTCCACTAGTATTCACAGGGAGTTAAATGGAAGGATTTCTGTTTCTGCTGTATGAATTTCTACCCGCAGTTTAATTTTACTGAGGGAATTTTTTTTTACCCTGGGGTGTGGGGGGTGATAGTTTAATTAAACCAGCAAGCTGAAAACTGTGCACTGTGTGTAACTATGTATAACCAAACCTTTTAGCATTTCTTTCAACAACATTAAGCAATCAAAATAGATGATACTGAGCTATATTTGATGACTCTTGCCCTTTTCACAAAGCCTGAAATATTTTAAAAGCAAAACCAGTATCTATTAAGCCAACTCCACTTTTCCTATTAAAATAATAAAAAACAAGAAACCAATGATACTCTCTCAAATAAACTACACAGACTGTCAAAAGTCAGCTAGGGCTGAAACTGAGCCCTTTAATGCAGTTCGAAAAACTTGGAGCCTGGATCTTTCATTAGTATAAATAGGCAAACTTCAGTCAAAGTCAGCTATACCAAGCTATACTGTCATCTCCGAGAATCCCAGCTTTGTGATCACAGAAATGTTTAATTTTTCAAGGGGACAAGGGGAGATGGAATCGCAAGCCCAGGCCGTGGCCCTGTCTGTGTATTACTGTGTCGTGCTGTTTTGCCACTGAAGGTCCAGCTCCAAGACTGCAGATCTGTCAGTGACCAAACGTGATGGACCACCCATCGGCCCTTTATTAAACAGCACTTGTTCCCCTTCTAATCCTATCACTAGAGTAATCAAAGCTGCCATGTCCCACGGTTTGATGGAACAGCAGGACCTGGGAAATGAAGACTGATTTTGTTAACAAAGTCATTCCTGCCCCCTGAATGCTGTCTCATTGGTAGAAAGCAGGGAGACGAGGTTTATTTGTGCAGAGAATGAGGCGGCAAAGAAATGAAAGGGGAAGAATGGTGAAGTGTGAAGTTTAATCTGGCACAGTCTGAGGTTTCTTTCTTTGAGGCCGTCTCTGATCCAATCAACACCGGTTTGATATTTAACATCTCCCCCTGCAGTTGGAAATGATACAGGCCGGAGGAGACCGGAGCCAGCAAGCCCCAGCAGCAGAGGGAGAGAAAAGGGGGTGCTGGCAGCTGCCCTCCGTCAGACGGCTTCCCCCACCGACAGACAGAGCAGGATGGAGTCCGGCCCTGACGCAAAATTCCCCTCACAAGCCTTGGGATTCAGGGCATCTGGCATAGGCTGAGGGCAGATTCTCCCTGAAGAAAGCGAGCTCAGGATGGGATGGGAAAGGGATTTTATTTCTAACTTGGAGGAAGGGATAGCAACACTGCCTCAGTCCTGGGATCCATCTGAGAGATGGGATCAAACACAAGCGAGAGCTACCATCCACCCCGGTTGGAGCGGTTTGGGCAGAGGAGTAAGACCTTCCTTTGCTGTCCCCGTTGCTGGGGACACAATGCTGCCCAAGGGGACTCACTCCTGGGGCTGAGATGGGGTGCCACAACAGCCCTGGGTGATCAGGACATGGACAGACCTGAGCAGCTGTAGGAGTCACCATCACCATCCTCCGACGACTCCAACGACAGTGTGTATCAGCCTGGGGAGAGGTTCTTTTCACCACAGACCTGCATGAGGGACCCAAGGAGGGTGGGAAAGCTTAATCCTCTCCGGAGCTGGCCCTCAGAGGACACATTGACAAGTCCTCACGGCCTGTCATGGCACTGGCTGCAGTGCCTCTGCTGGGATCGCAACAAGAGAAGGCCCTGAATGCCATCTGCCCCTCACCAGCTCTTCTCAGTCCTGGACTGCTTGACTATGTACTTTTCTGGTCACTCTGTAAATAAACATCTATGCTGTCAGTCAGAAAAGTTGTCTGCTTCCTCTTCTTTGTGTGCCTCTCAGCTCTTTGCATCCCACCTTCAGTGAAAGCCCTGAAACTCCATGTATCAAGGAGCAGTGATGTTTCAACCTGACCCAGACCCCATCTGAATGTCCCTGTTCCAGGCTCCCAACCCAGCCTTTTGCTGCCATTCAGACACCTTGTCACCAGCTACACAACACCCAGGGACTGGATTTGTGCGACCAGCAGCTGCTGGAGTCCCAGGGGAGTGAGGATGCTCCCTCTGCAAGCCATGCAGGGCAGCAGCCAGTCAGCGGGGAAGGCGGGTGGATCTAGCAATGCCAGTCTGGGAGAGCAGCATGAAACATGGAGCAGAGCATCAGACTACAAAATTTCTGGGGTTACAACAGAAAACAACGCGCGTGCTCTACCTGCAAGAGCTGGCTGTCCAGGAAGCAAGCAATTATATGAGCCACCTTAATCTTTTCATCCGGCTAAGACAATCAACATTTCAAAGCCACACACAGAACGTTTCAAAGATCGTTCCTGGTCAAAAATGCAAGTGTATCCGCTTTCTTTCAGAACAGATCAAAACCAAGTACCACACCGGGACCACTCCTAGATTTCCTCCTCCTCACGGTATCAGATTAACAGATTTGGTGCATGCAGTCAGATTAAATATTTGCAGTAGCACAAAGCTGCCTTTGAGGAGAAGTAGTAAAAAAAAGAAGCTTTTTTTCTTTTTTAATTTGCTTAGGGCAAAAATACTGGACTTTGGGGACGGGAGAAACAAAAGCATTGACATGATTCAGCAAGGCACAGTTTCAAAACTCGAGTTCTGAATGCAGAAATTACGTGCAGTATTCCCGTAACAGTAATGCTGAAAACAGGTAAAAAACGCTGATGCCCTTAGCAGATTTGGGACCGTAATTTATCACAGATGTTCTCATCAAACTGTGCAAACACCCTACAAGACAAAAGCTGCTCAATTTCTGATTTCCATTTTAGTGTGTTTTAATTACGTGCTGCTTAAGGAAGGCTCCAAGACCTGAAATTGGGAGGCGAACCCTAGAAATAGTAATCCACTCCGCTAAATTAGCACAGTAATACACCAAGCAGTAGGACTGCCAGACAGTGTGATAACATTACAAATTACTATTGTTAAACAACTAGCCAGGTGTCAGGATGCATGAAATCTAAAGGAAGCAAGAAAATAAATATCTGGTTTGTTTTGTTTAATTTTGTCTCGTGTTGTTCTGGTGGCCTTGTTCCCAGAAAAAGCTTCAGACTAGGAAAAATCCTCCTGAACACTGAACTGTTTTAGCAGAAATGTCAATTCTCTGTAATAATTCCAATGTAATGTATTTTTATAATCAGTGCAAACTTTTTGCATAAATTATTGTTCTTCACAAGCCAACAGCAGTAATACCTTTGCTGTTCTTTTTTCAGATTATTATTGTAGCAAAATGAAGGGGAAATTTTTGTTTCTATTTAAAATTTAGAGAATGACAGAAAGCCAGAATTGTGGTAAGAGCAGCAGTGAGTTTTGCACTCTGTCCCGTTTCCTTTCTCTGTTGCGCATTCGCCCTCTCTCTATAAAGAGAAAAAAAAAACTAATACGATTCATGTTTAAAAGGCTTCCAAGTGGTACATTTTTAACCAAGTGCTTTCATGTGCTTGATTCTAACTGCCATTTTTGACCTAATATAACCAAATGCTATTGGATGTCTGGAATGGTTCATTACTTTTACCTCACCTTAAAGAAGGGGTTCAGAAGAGAGGATAAGCACTTAAGCCTTTCAAACAGAACAGACTAAAACAAATTCCTTGTTTTGCATCTGCGTTAATTAATGCAAAGGTCCCAAGGGGCTTTCTTTTAATTATTTTTGTTGATAAACAATAAAATCCTTCCAAAAGTATACACAACCAATCTTCTCCTCTGAAGGCTGTATGCAGAGTTAGACTTCTAGCTGAAATATCGTATGAACCAAATGTTAGTGAAAGCCAGACTTTTTGCCCTTAAAACAGTTCCCACTAGACTTCAGGGGACAAGGGGGTGAAAACACTCTTAGGACATTTTAATCAGACCAAAGATCACTCCTTTAATCCTTATTTCCCACATCACCAAGAATTTTTTTTCTCAAACTAAGACAGTAAGATGAAGCTGGAAATGGGCTGATCCAAAACTAATGACAAAAAGCAGGTTAAAATGAAATATTGTCGCAGTAACTGACACCACCGAAAATTTCTCTGGATTGTTTGTTTTCTTCCACACACATTCATTTCCTGAATTTCTAGTAAATCTGATTTCATATAAACAGTTTCACAAAGCAAAGTCAATAGCTGTGACTGTGTTCCTGATTAATCCACCGAAATGAAATAGATTGCATGGCTTAGTATTTGGTTGTTTAAACCTAAATCCACTGAAAGAATTCTGGAGTCCAGTTACACCAATAACTTTTGTTTCTTAATCTACATCCTTTTCTTTTTGCTGAACTTTACCTGTTATAAAATGAAAAAAAAAACCATGCAGGCTGAACACTTAATTTCTCCCAGTACATGAGGGCAACGTGAGCCAGTTTGATTTGACCTGGAGTGACCACTAAAAAGACGACTGACAGTTTGCACGTACTTAAATCTATTTGAACAATGTTGAAATTTATTTTCTCATTGTTCATGCTTCATCCTCTTCCTGACAAGTACCACAGAGCTGCTCTACTTGAAAACAAGCAAACAAAAAAAAGCACTTTATACCCAGCTCCAGGACAGGACGGGAGGCGTGGAAGCTTCCCTCACAAGTGGCAAGCCAACAGACACACATTCACGCCCTGGACAAATGCCTCTCAAATAAATAATACACACGATGAACGCGCAGCACTCGCTGGGCGTATCACAGGGGTTTTGCGGACAGCGTGGATCGGCGCGATGGAGAACGGGCAGCCCAACGCAAAGGCCGCTGGAGCCCACGAGCGACCCATCCCACTGCAACAGCCTTGGGCTTCGCCCCCCTAAAACCGACCAAAACATGAAGGAGAGCAGCCCCCACCTCCTGGGATGAGCCACAAGGCCCAGAAGCCTCCTTACCTGGGAGAAGTTGAGCCCGTTCAGTGGGTGACACTGCTCCTCCACCCTCTCCACCGCTCCCGTCATCTTCTTCATCCTCTCGGCCTCCTGGGCAAGGTAGAGATCGAGCACTGGCACCCCTCTGGAGCGGATGTCCGTCTCCGTCAAGGAGTTCACCATGAGCATCACCCAGACAGGCCTCTTGCGCTCCCAGTTGCCAGCGATGGCGTTGAAGAGGTAGTCAGCGTAGAGCCCTTTGCCCCGCTGGTCCGGGGTCATCCAGTGGGGCAGCATCAGCTTGATGTAGTCCAGGTGGCGTTTGAGGCGGCGGTACAGCTCCCGGGGCAGCACATCCTGCAGGTTCTCCCCGTGGGGCAGCATCTGGCAGCTGGCCAGCCCCGAGATGGTGTAGGGGTCGGTGAGGTCCAGCTCGAAGTAGACGCTGGAGCTGGTGTGGAAGGCAGCCTTGGAGTTATCGGGGATGAAGTCCCACACCCGCGTGTAGGGCACGTGGATGGTGCCGAAGAGATAAGCGGGGGGGTCACGGCGGATGGTCCAGAGGAAGGAGTTGAGCTCTCCTTGCTGGGGAAAGGACAGTAGGGACAGTCAGCAGTGGTGACTCAGGAGGGCAAGAGACAACCCACGGGGGGGTAACACCGCCTTCGGGGGGTCCCTGTCCCCATCTCCCTGTGCAAGCCCCAGCCAGGCTTGGAGCAAGCAGAGCCCACGGGCGCGAAAGGGTCTGCGTAGGGCACAGTGCCGCGGTGCTCCCTGCTCCCCC